TTTAAGGTTTTAGGGTGTAGGGTTTCGGGTTTAGGGTACCTCTGAACATATCCCAAAAGGCAATTATCTTACATACGTTTTGGAGTTCAGGTATATAGTTCTTGCCGTTGTATCCCCACGGTCTTGGGGCCAACAAGCATGCCGCACCGATGTGTAGAACCCTAGAAACTGGGACAATTGAAAAGTCGAAGACACATGCTGAAAGGCATCTTCTCAATTGCTTTAGCTTCTTATGCGCTGCCAATGGCCTTTCAGGGTGCTGGAAACGCAAAATTAATTGGCTACAGTCTAAACTCCTAGTACTTGTATCTCCCGTGATCATACCCCTATAGTAATTCCCAAGGTAGTCCCCTGTTCTATAACCCTCTTTAGGGGGTTTAGACTACAGCTCACATGTAGCCAAAGCACATCGCCGCCCTCCATATTCGGGTTGTCCAGCATGTACGCACCTGCTGACTGCGGTTCTGGGTGCACAAATTGGAAGCAGGGAGGGTACCTTAGAACCCTCACTGGGAGTTGGGCTAGGTGAAATGCGGGAACTTTGGGAAGTTTGAGTTTGAATGCCCTCAGGATTCTCGAAAGACGAATCCTGCGCGTGTACATTAAAGTTGAAAATCGAGTGCCTCCATGCCCCCGTAAGTGCTTGATCGCTTGAAACACCTTGTTTCACAAGCATAGGTCCCCTTAAAGACCCTCAGGTGACCACGACCCCGCTTCCTTTCCAAAAGCACTTTGTGCAAGCCCTGAACCTAAGCCAACGGAGGTTTCGTTGCACTTTCAATGGCTTGGCGGCTTCTAGCCGAGGGGTGTTAAGACGTCGGGCTTTGTTTCTTGCCCCGCAGCCCAGTAAGAGTCTGGCCAATTTTGCCAAACGTAGCATCGCCAGCATGAGCTGCAATCAAAATATGATTGGGCACAAACATCTGAGGCATTTTGGTGGCTAAGGCTGGCAAGAATACATCATGTTCTTTGTAGAAAAACTCTGATAAAGAGAAGAACAGAATGTTGTTCCACATTTCTGCTAGAGTCCACACATCTAACTAAATCACCACTCATGTGAGTTTGACAGAGGCGTCAGTGTGGGCTGGAGGTGCGTGCAAGGGAGATCCTTGTGTCCAAAAATCACAGGAGAATTAGAAAACGCCAACGCTCGTCCAAAAAAGACACATTACACTCATAGTGAAAATCTGTACCAGCAAGAGGTGTTGTGCATCGCATAAACAAGGTCTGTCCTGGAGGGGGGATACCCCCTGTTGAGAAAACCCAGCCCGAACCCAAACCCTACCTCTTTAAACCTCCTATAACTCCTCGAAAGGGAACTTTCGGATTTTCATCATGATCTGGTAGTTCTAATAAGTAGGGAGACCCCAAGATAGACCCCCAAATGCAGCTGTAATCTTTATTGTATGAACCAATAGAAGATTACCCCGAACCTTGGGAAACCCTCCGATCTGCTGTTGGGCCACCACTTTCCAGCGTGCCACCGCTGAAGCTGCCACTCTGCTTGCCGAAAACTGTTCGGATGCGGGCGCATTCCATGTTGTGGCCTGACACACGGTTTACAGCTTAGGGTTAGGGTTTTGGGTAAAGGGATCCAAAACATGGAGCCCAGCAGCGATCTCTCCATGTAGTCATAGGCTCGTCTTCCGGGGCTCCATGTTTTGGGGGTCTGGGGAAGCACACAATTTCGGGTTTGCGGTTTCGGGGACAAAGCTTGGGATGGGAGGTCAAAACTGACCAGCAGCTAGTTTCCCCCGACCCAGCTGAACACTTAGACACATTGTTTGTAAGGGCCGGGTCGCAAGCAAGAAAATCCAAAACCGCCTCCACTACGCCTGCGCTATCTTGACTAGCCGGCGCAATCCTCTCAGCACAAAGCTAGGTGTTATCTTTAGAACGATTCTGGCTCGTTTCTGATGTGGGTATGTCTCAAAACAGGGTTACCTCTGGGACCCCAACGACGCATGCGGATTACAAGAAGATTGTGACGGTCTCCGCTAAGGCATAAACAAAGATCATTTCGAGCAAGTCCCGCATTGTTGTGGCCTTTTTTTGCTGAGAGTAGACCAAAACTCGGCTTCTCAAGGAAGAAAGGCCCAAAAGAGATCCATGACTTTTCTTCTTTCAAGCTGTTCGGATTTTGCCAGAAAGGAAGTGCAGCTAGACTTCCAGTTGCTGGGCCTTGTTTAAAGAACCCTGGGCTTCAGAACTTATTGAAGGGCTTCTGCTTTTACTTTCACGGGACAGGGAAGCTAGTTCTGCAGGGGTGGTATTAAGTTACCCCAAGGTTGCAATGCTGATATAACTTTGTACCCAAAATAATTCAAAATACCCAAAAGCACCGGATGGAATTAGAGTCCTCCTTAAGTAGATAGAATATGGGGTATATGGGGATCTTATTATGATTTACCCAAAGCCATATTCTATCTACTCAAGGGGGACTGTAGTCAAATGCAACTGTACACCAGTTCACAGTGTCCCGGCTTGGAGGTTCGAACGAACTATTGCTTACTTATCATTGTGCTTACATGGGCAAACGAGACCCCGGAGTCCCCAGTATGGTTACAGGTGGGTCATGGCTACAGTCAAGTCAGCAATAGTTACCTTGAGCCCTCCGACTTCCAGCCCTTAACCTGAATCCTTCAAGACCCATAAGGCTACCCTCAGCCTCCAGGATCTACCATGCAACCCAGAAGTACAAATCCACCTCCTTTTTGCATCTGGTCTCGTTGATCCACCACCTCAAAGCCTAAACCCTTCCACAAGAAACCCAGAGCCTCAAAACCCCTCAACCCTTGCACTGTCAACTCAGGAAACTGAAGCGCAGCCATCATTTCTGCTTCCTCAAAATTAAAGCTCCCAAACCCCCGCTGAATCCATATCATTGCGCGACAAGGTGCGCTTCTTCATCTCAGTAGCAGCCATAAACCTTTCTGAATGGGCATTTGTCAAGTTTGGGGCTCCTTTCTTAGGGTTTAGGGTTTAGGGTCTACGTTGTAGGGTTTAGGACTTAGGTTGTAGGATTTAGGGTTCAGGGGTAGAGGGCTATGAAGGGACTAGGCTGCCAGTAGGGATCATAAAGGAATATTGCAGGATTGGCAGTAAGGTGTTTGGGTGCTATATAGCTTGGGTCCTGCCCCCACCCATTGACAATCTAATCTAGAATAGGTCATACAAAGGGCTTATATAGCTATGTGTTAGCTATAGGACAGATATTATCCAGCTGTTAATGCGCGGGGGCAGTATCCAACCTAGAATCTGTACCAAGGGCCCTAAACGCTAAACCCTGAACATTAAGGGCTTAGGGTACCGGGAGCCGGAACCGTTTAGGAAAGTGCACTATCTATCATACGTATGATCAAGCACCATAGGACATCACCTAAGCTATAGTCTAAACTCCTAGTATCCCCCTTTATAAGTTAACACTCCCCTATATAACCTCATTTAAGGAGTGTACTATAGATCAACTGGTTACAACCTAGCTGTTTGCTTACCTGCGTAGTTCTCAACTTCTGCCCGCGAACCCCTCCATGCCTGGTCGGAACATCTGGGAAGCCAATAATCCGACACCCCGTGTAGTAGTAGTAGTAGTAGTAGTAGTAGTAGCAGTAGTAGTAGCAGTAGTAGTAGTAGTAGTCATTATAATAATAGTATGTAATAATCATGGTAAGAATAAGAGTAACATTACCTGTATTTCAAAATCATCAACATAGTAGAAAGCATGGAAATCATGGAAATAGTAATAATAGTAGTAACCCCTATACCCTACCCTCCGTTTTAAGCTATCTAACTTTATATCTAGAATCTCTTGTATACACAAGTTGGTACCCCAAGGAAAGGGCAGGTAGGGTAGAGGGGTCTCAGTCGTGGCTGGAACGCTGAAGCTTGAATGGTTCCCCCAAACCCTAACCCCTAAATCATTCAACAGCCTCCCCCAAGTATCAAGCTATGGACAGTGTGAAAACACTATCTACTTGAAAAGGCCCCAACAGGAGCGTGACTCTGTCTGTAGGACCCTTAAACCATCAATTCTAGGAATATCTTCCTTACCACGGAGCGCGCCAATGTCTGACGGAATGCTGTCGAAACCGCAGCAATGAACCTGAATTCTGCTAGGATTTAGGATGTCGCAGAATTTGGACTTACGTGCTCTTTTGGGATTGTTGTTCAGAATTTGGGCTTACTAACATTAAACAACATTGAGCCTTATTAAAACAAAAGCATCTCTCAACGTTGTAGGCCTTCAGATCTGAATACTAGGATCCTGCTATGCTCACCCTGTGAAACCTTGGCTACAGAGACAGCCTGAAACTGCAGGAGTCCAAGCAATGCTTCTCGAACTTACCCGCATAGAATTCTTCTTTTGGCCCTTTTGCAATTAAAGCAGATCCCTGAGGTCCATGGCAATTACCTTCATTGTTGATTAACCTCGTAGGATCCGAGAACTGCTCCTGAAAGAGCTCGCCGGCCAAATGCCCTGCTCACCCCGGCCCCGCAACACCCTATATGATGTTTGTCAAAGAAGCCGGGGGGGGCTTAGGTCCTTTTTAAAGGATTCCGTGCGAATCACATACCTGCCTCTCAAACCAACAGGTCAGGACTTCCTACCGGAATCTGAAGCTCTTCCTACCAGGCAGCAATGAGCGACTTCTTCTCCTTGGCCTCGAGCCAGATGAGAAGATGATGGGGGAAGAGGAGGGCAGGTGAGGGAAGAGCCAGGAAAACTCTTGATGTGGGGATATCCCAAAATTGGGGGTAGCTTTTGGGCGTTCCCAATAGTAAGGACTGTAGTAATTGGGGATCTGTATTGGTGGCCCCCCGTTTTGGGAAACTAACATGTGAGCAAAAAGGAAAACAGATTCAGCTGAAAACGGGCAAGCACAGCCAAAACTCGCAAAGGCAACAAGGCAGCCAACTGGAAAGCGCACAGAACGAGCTAAAATCCGAGCTCACAAATTCCCTCACCAAAGCTCCCACGACTCGGTCCTCAGCCTTCAGGTGTTGGCTTGATTCCTAGTATCCCCCTTGATAACCTCTATAGTAGTCCCCTGCATGATCCCTTATACAACCCCGATATACTATAGTAGTTTCCATTTTTCCCTTATCCCTATATAGTCCCAATATAAACCCTATATGATCCTTTATATAACCCCCTTCAAGGAGTTATGGGATGGATGCCAGGGCTGCTCAAGGCATTGCAATTCACAACCACGAAAAGCTTTAAGCTGGTACTGCGTGTGCGAACATGTTTGCTCGGCAGCAACCTGATACAGCAGTGACGTGGATGATCGGTATTCCTAGAAGTTGCAGGCGCAGCCAGTGGAAACTCCAGCCTCTAACCAATCTCAAAAACTGTATTCTTCAAGAGCATCTTGCAATACCACAAGACCTAAAACCCTCAAGCCCTAAACTCTTGCCACAAACACGTCCCATCAAGGGGTTCAGGCCTTCTCGTCATAACGGTCGGCGGAGGACTTGACAAAGGCCACTTCTCCTGTGATGTCCTCAGAAAATCATTCCAGACATGGAGGCTCCCGTAGGGAAAAGGTATGATGCCCCCGGTAAAAAGACCGCTAGGGCCCCGTTTGTATGGCTCCGCTACCTATCAAAATCCCACATCCTCACGTTCCATGAGAGGTGTCAACTTTGACCACCATCAACTACAGCCCTCAAAACACAAGTAGGAACTGATTGATCCACTTCCATGAAGTACCCTAAACCCTTAACCGCGGGGAATGCATGTTAGGATAAATGGTTGAAAAACACTGAAAGTGCTCTGAATAACCGTCAAAGGAGGGTATTTAGGAAGGACGCCGCACCTCCACTCCACTCTTCCCACCTTCAGATTACACAATCCCTTCTCCCTAGCACTAAACCGCCCAAAATCTAGTACTGTTAAATTTCTGGAGGGACCTTGATCATTAGGGGGCCGGGAGGTTTCATGTAGACCCCGGATTAAGAAACACCTCCCCTTATTTGGGACTATAATAGGGATCCTAATATATAGGCCCTTAAAAAGGAAGGGTCTATAAATCACGGGCATGAGTTCTTCTTGGGGGGAAGGGGTTATATACAGCAGCCCTCATAAAGCAGCTGAAGCCTTGTGCCATTAAAAAAGCCAAGGGATGTAGCAGCCGGCAGCTCCTCCTGATTTGAGCCCTAATATTAACTCCTAGTATCCCCTCCAATAACCCTTATAATACTCCCCTATATAATTCCTTATATAACCCCCTCTACAGCTCATATAAGCCCCGCTCAATTCCAAGCTATTGCAGCAACGCGTCAACGTAGCAGCAGCCATTGTTGACGCAAGCTTCTACCACCGGCAAGCCCTGTGCACAGGCTTGGGTTCGGTTGACAAAAAGCGTAGTTTCATTCCAAACATGCATCAGCCGCGCATGCAAAGCCGACCTGTTGGCTTGAGGAGGGCTCTATAACTGTCAGTTCAAGAAAAGTACAGGCTTCATTGATCTAGACCCTGCGCAAAGCACCCAGGGAGAGACGGATTGGGGCGTGACCGTACTTGCACGAGCCAGAGTGGTTCAGAGTCTTTCGCGCATGGCTTAGGCTTTAGAGTTTGGATATGGTAACAGAACCCACTTGGCAACGAGCGCTGCTGGCCTTGTCGCTGTAAGGCGTGCCTGCAAAGTTCATGAGCGTCTTGCAGCTCTTCGCAGCTTCCTGCGGGTCCCAAAAAAAAACATGAACAACATGTAGCGCCATACACCCAAACTCTGAGCCTAAAATACTTAGGGGTTTAGGGTTTCGGGTCTAGGTTTAGGGTCTAGTATTGAGGGTTTTGGTTGAGGCGCATCCTGAAGAGTCGTCCTGCAAGAGCTGTACTTTCCGAAGCTGAGATGCCCCTAGGCGGCTATAGTAGGGAATCAGCCAGTATATGTCAAATAGGGATTATACTAGGCGATATATTAAGTATGAAGGACTATGCTAAACCACAAGGGGGCCCTGTACTTTCCAAAGCGGAGATGTCCCGAGAGCTGTGCGACAAAGACGTGATCGTTTGAGATGTAAAGCAGCTACAGGTTGAGGGTTGAGGGTTTAGGCTTTACGGTCAGTCACTACCCCTTAAGCCCCTACAAGTAGAGGAGATGGGACTGTTGTTAGGGAATAACTTGAGCTGCGCTAATGCGATTAGCCTTGGAAACTCAGGTCCAGTTTGGACATTCCCTCGCAAACTGCACCATTGGCAGCAGCAAATAACAATGCAACGCGAACAGTAACGGGTCTTTCATGTACGTAGCACCCTTGCTGAAAACAGAACCAGGCAACATACAGCCGTTGCTTGGCACTTCAGAAAGTGGTAAGAGACCCAATGAAGCTGATGTCTTTAACGCTCAGACGTAAGCCATCACTACTTCTTCCCTAAACCCAACACAAGGAGCTCCTCTAGATCAGCTGGGTTGGTCACATCCACCTCCAGCAGGACACTGTTCGAGACATGCACTCTGGGAATTTGTGTGAAGCATGTGAGCTTTTGGGCCTAGCAATTCAGTTGAACAGGACCGGGTCCTGCTGGAGTACGAGTATTGATAAGAAAAAAGTAAGAGGAATAGTCGATAGTAATAATACAAAGGAATTCTGTACTCCTGCCACAGTCAGCGTTCCATGTGCAAGACATGAATTCAAATAGCCGTCTAGTTGAAGTCTTTCTAGAGTCAGTATACCCCGTCAACACCTAGTACAACACACATAACCTCTGCCTCCTGCACATGGCGCTTCTTCTATAGCGCCTCTTTTGCGAAGCGCAAGATGCAGAACGACGTCCATGTGTGGTCTAAGGGCTATAGGCTTAAACCCCCTTAACCACATCTGCATCTAAAGCAGGCAGATGCTTCAATTGCCGGTTATATGGTGCTACTGCTACGTTACTTACCATGACTCGCTATCATGCAAATCGCCATGCATGCAGTCGCTGGGGCCACTTCTATTGTCGTCAATGCAATTGTTGCTGTACGCTCTGCCGTTGGTACTATCGACTGTCCGCATCGCTGAAACGGTATTTTCCTGGCTTGTATCCCACGTAATATCATTGCGACTACACATTTCCTATCCAGTCATGCCTTGATGAGGGGCGTGTCCTTCGCGCTCTCTGGCAATGCCTGCCAACGAGAAACATGATCAATGATGCTGTCGAGTAGCTGGGCTCCAGAGCTTCGCTTAGGGTTTAGGGTATGTATCAGGAGTTAACTAGCAAACAACATCTACCAATGCCAGCACAACAAATCATGTCAGCTGCGCGAAACAAGTGCAGTAGAAACATGGGAATACTTCTTGTGGCAGCCCATTCCGTACACATTATGATACTTCTCGGGGGCGCGCGAGAAAGGAGACGTACACAAAGAAACCTGTGTTCAAGACGTCCCTCGGCCCGCTCCAACATCTTCTTGTTTCACTCCGTAAGAACCTCTGCAACCAAAACCACAAACCTCAAGCCCAAAATTCGAAGTCAGGACAACTCATCCTGAATCCCACAGCACACTGTCCTACGTCAAGACTGAGCCCCAAACCCCCCAACATTCGCGAAGCCCTGGGTAACGCACCTTGCGGATGCCCTCGAGCTTGTCCAAGCTGCGCCCGGCCATGGCCCACGTCACCTTCTCGCCACCTCAGGAGCCAGCTTCAACTTTTCAGAAGCAATCCTACAATAGGTATAATATCAATACTTCATTAGGGTTGGGATTAGAGTCCAGGGTTTGGATTGCAAGGTTTGAGCTTTGTGTTTCGGGTGGGTTTGGCCTAAATCCTAAACCCTAAACCTTAAATCCTAAGCCCTCAATCCCTAAACCCTTGGGATTTGAATCTTCTGGCTTAGGTTTGCTGGGGTTATGAAGGGATTTTGGGGCCATGGCCTGGCTTCAAGGCTCCCATTTAAAATTTAGTGAAGGATAATTAGGGCTAGGGTGTCAGGTTTATGGGCAAATTATTTTTTGGATAGTATCCATGGTAGTATTCATGAGATTGGCTTCCCATCTGACGCAAGTCCTACGCAGAAGACCCGATATTTGCTCTAGGGTCTTAAAGAATTAATTCCCAAGAATGTAAACGATTGGGAAGAAAATTGGAGAATGAAATGGAAACTGGGATTCTATAGAGGTTTATAAGGATTATTGAAGATAATTGATTCCCAGCATCATTTTGAGGTCTGTTTGATGTACCCTGTACCATGTTCATACAAGGAATATGGTACCAGCATGTAGACAGCTATTCCGCATTCTACATTTTTCTAATAAGCTCAATACAGGGTAATTTAGAATAATCTCAATTCCCAAGTTAAGGCCATTTTGGTATTGTGGCGGAGGTGTTTTTTTTTCCTAACGTTGGCTCCGGCTGTCTTTTTTTCCTAACGTTGGC